GGGGGGGTTTGAACTTTCCACTTACTAACATTTTCATTATTCTACCTGGGAAAATAACTGGGAAATCCTCAAAATTGCACTTAAATTTACAGGCATGCATCTATAGCAAATTTGTCTGTATGAGGATCTTTGCCACCAGTAACACAGAATGAAGGGCTGTCTGGACTAATCAGATGGCTCAGTCAACTGATTCTACATTGGCTGTAAACAGTGACTGTTTAACATGAGAAATTGAGTAAATGGATTGGTCGACATAACAGAACTTTTAACGCAGCAGACCATGCATGAGGTTAATCTGAGAGGGCAGAGGCTAGAAGAGAGCACACTGTTTTACGGAGCGATGTGTTTTCTGTGTTCACAGTATAATCAAAGGCTTCACACTCCCTGGGGATCCTGCTTTTGAAGCTGATGTGATTCATTCTTTGTCTTTTCTTTTCACTCTGTAGCATTGTCATTGGCCTCTCTTATTTGCTCTCTGGTTCTCAGCTTGTCGTTCACATGAGTTTACCCCAATTCAATTTAAAAGGCATAAAACAGGCTTGGAAGGGCAAAGGCAGGAAGCGAGGGCATCAAAAGTGACAAGTATACTTCGAAAAGGGGCTTTTAAGGCATAGTCAACATAAATGTCCTTACAAGAATCATAAACACATGCCAAAATGATTTTCATGTACAACTGAAATAGTTTTTGTTACAACAGAAAATGTTAACATACAAACTAAAAATAAGGGTAGGGTCAATGTACAGTACCGTTCAAAAAAATGTACGTAAGTTTTTTTAGTGGTTTTGAAATAACTTTTTATTTGATATTTATTTGATAAATGCTTACCAAAATTGCATTATTTTAATGAAAATTATAGTAAAATAGTAATACTGAGAAATATTATTACAATTTAAAAGAACTGTTTTTGATTTTAATATATTGTAAAATATATTTTATTCCAGTGAAACAATGTTGTGCTTCTTTATATTTTAGTTGAAACTGATATATCTTGTCGTGGCCACAGTGTAAAGTATATATATATATATATATATATATATATATATATACATTTTATTTCACATAAAACAACCTTTAACCCTGCTCCTGGGAACCCACTGTCCTGCAGAGTTTAGCTCCAACCTTAATCAAACACACCTGAACCAGTTAATCAAGCACTTCAGGGATCACTTGAAAAATCACAGGCCAGGTGAGCTGAAGCCGGTTCGAAATAAACTTTGCAGAACAGAGGGGCACCAGGAGCAGGGTTGAAGACCTAAGTAATAAATTTTTCGATTTTGCCACAGTAGGCATAACAAACTGTGCTATCATATAGGCATCAATCTGTGCTAGTAGAAATGAGATTATTTACAAGCCCTCTTTCTCTTGCTCTGTTTTGCACAGGGAATGTGTTTGTTGTCAGTTTGGCCTTTGCTGACCTGGTGGTGACTTTCTATCCCTACCCGGTGGTGTTGTATGCAATCTTCCATGACGGCTGGTCTCTGGGGGAAACCCAGTGTAAAGTCAGCGGATTCCTAATGGGCCTGAGTGTGATCGGCTCTGTTTTCAACATCACTGGCATCGCCATCAACCGTTACTGCTACATCTGTTACAGTTTTGCCTACGGACGTCTCTACAGCTTCCGTAACACGCTGCTGTTAGTGGCCCTGATCTGGGCACTCACTGTGCTGGCCATTCTTCCCAACTTCTTCGTGGGTTCGCTGAGTTACGACCCCCGCGTTTACTCCTGCACCTTCACGCAGACTGCTAGCAGCTCCTACACTGTGGTGGTGGTGGTGGTTCACTTCCTGGTGCCCATCGCGGTGGTGACCTTCTGCTACCTGAGGATTTGGGTTCTGGTGATACAGGTGAGGCGGAAGGTGAAGAGCGAGGAACGCTCAAGGGTGAGACCCAGCGACCTGCGCAACTTTGTCACCATGTTTGTGGTGTTTGTTTTATTTGCAATCTGCTGGGCTCCGCTCAATCTAATCGGTCTTGCTGTGGCCATCGACCCAGAGGTCATGGCTCCACGTATTCCAGAGTGGCTCTTTGTGGTCAGCTACTTTATGGCCTATTTCAACAGTTGCCTCAATGCTATCATTTACGGACTCCTCAATCGGAATTTCCGAAAGGAGTACGTGCGGATCATGACGTCGGTGTGGATTCCTCTGAGGTTTGTGACTGAGACCTCCAGGGCTGCCACAGATGGGATGAGGAGCAAACCCTCACCGGCCATTAATAACAATGAGTGACTTTTGTTTTTAGCCAATCACTGTTCAGAGAGGAACATTATGGATGCATGAAGCAAATTTACATGCTTTGAACTGTGAACACATATTTTGAATGCTACAGAACCATTATGCACAACTCAGGGTGCTTGTTTTATTTGCAAATTGGAAATATGTGACTGCCTAAATTTCTGCAAAACCTGAAATGTGTTGTTACATTTCACTGAACTTTTCAGATGACACCTCTACAAGCAGCGCTATAAGCCATTTCAGTTTTTTTCTGCATTGGAGATGCAGGTTTATCAAACAGTACAGCGCCATGAAAATAACATTCCTGTGGGTACAAAATAGCTGCAAAATTATATTTTAAACCCCAATTTCTGGCGTGTTTAATTTTCTCTGAAACAGTTGAACATGAACATGCTAATGCTTTTTTACGCTGTTTGTAACGCAGCAATTCAGAAATGAAATGTCGGGTGAGTGGCGCAAAAATGTGAATGCTCCATTGTGTTTGAAATTTATGTACCACCTACACTAAACCCTACCGAAAAGCGAATGTAAGATAAAAACACATTTGCTGAAGCAACCATGCCATTTTAGCTTCAAGGCTTAACAAGGGTTTGAGCTCTTTTGTGGAGTGTCATGACTTGTGTTTTACAGGACTTATACCAGAGTGCTCCGCATCGCAAATGTGCCAGCTGTACCAGGTGAGCTACCGAGCAAGTTTACCATGTCAGAAAAGCCATTTAAATGGAGCGAATTATGTGATGCAAACATTAAAACGTATTAGTTTACAAATCATGCACTATGGTAAAAGTGTTTTGAGGTCATAACATAGTATTATGGATATGGAAGGAACCGTGCAGAAATGAGTCTTTATTCATCAATAATCTGCTCCATAATCATAATTTGTGTGAAAGGAAAAGAAAGTTGTTGGTGTTTTTCTGTCTCTAGTGTCCATTTCACCTGAAAACTACAGTAAACTGTATTATGTATAGGTACATTTTTGCAGTTTTGCAGAAATGTAGGCAGTCACATATTTCCAATAAGCATTGGTTGTTAATTTTTGATGTTGTGATCCATTTCTGTCATTATTAAGATATATTTAACTCCCAGTTTATATTGAAAATTAAATGAAGTTTTAAATCAATTTATTTAGCATCTGTTTATGATCTATGACTATTTATTGAAAACATTTTGTACGATTTTGTGGGTCTGTTGTATAAATCAGTATGCATCATATATTTTAGTCATTTTCAGTTCCGAACTTCTGCCTTACTCTTACAACTTTAACTTGAAATATGAAAAAATCCATATATTTATTCAAGGTGCCAAACGTTAATGCATTGACAGTAAGTATCTGATATACCAAATCAGTTTGTCAGATCAAACCAAATGGGATTCTGAAAGCATCCTAATTTAAATGCAACGTCAACAGAGCTTTAATGAGCGAAGAGCTTCCAGCACAGCGAGATAAAGCACAAACTTAAAAAAAAAATTCATGCGGATTCTGCGAAGAGAAATTTAGCTTTTTCAAAGTGAACGGCGACAGCGTGTGGTCAGTCAGTCATCAGTTTCAATCGGTGCTCACCTCTTATCTTTCAAATATTAAATGTCATTCATGACTTTGGGGTTATTACTTTGCCAGGAAATGTGCATGACTCTGAAACCATATATTTTCTTCAACAAATGATCTGTGAGTAAAACGCAGAAGGAATTTCGATTAAGATGAAGGTTACTGGCAAAAGGGGAAAATATTAAGAGACCTGGTTCGAATGTAATGTTGTCTGTGCTTGTCTTCACTTGATTTGGCAATGTGTGATTTAATCCTCCCGCCATAATGACACGTTCCATGCAGTGTGATTGTACTGTGTGAGAACATGCTTCACCATTGACCTGAATAAAAGAAAGGAACCAAACTGATGAAAGCCAAGTCTATTGGTGATTGTGCAACCTCTCTCTGGTATGAATGGGCTGCAGAGGGATTACATGGGGAGATTGGGATGAGCTTGCTCCTTATGGCCACATCTGCGCAGGGAATTATGGGGGATGTGTGGCTGGTGTCCCAGCAGATGGTGGACTGAGGTGGTTGATAACATAAACACTTGGCCAAGTTGTGAGCAATCCTGTTGTCGATTTGCTGAATGCATTATCCAGAAGGGTTGCAGGGAGGGAGTCTGGTTGAAAACTGTAGCAGAAATGTAATGGGAGTTGTACCAGACAAGGTTTTGGAATATAGAATATTATTTGTGAGGAAAATAAATATGTCATCAGCAATTTCAGGCTACTTTGCGACAAGTTAGTCATGATTTAATGTAGTTCACTCACAATCAAGCAAGTTACCTACACCGCTCTCTACTAACATATATAGTAGAGGCTAACTATTTTGAAAGTTACTTAAGGGGCAATATCTACTTAAATACATACTAATCTAATTATATAAATAATAATTCAGAGGAATATTTCTCAGGCACAAAAACAAATAGTTGTTAAATGAATAACCAATCTTAATTAGAGTGACCGCATCAAACCGCCACAAAAAAATGGGTGTCAACTCTAAATTTATTAAAACCCATGACATACTATAGGAAATTAATACTTTCGATTTCAAATAAATGCTGTTATTTTGAACATTCTATCAATTTTTATTCAATTGCATAACATTTTAAAAATATCAAGCACATCTGTTTTCAACATTGATGATAATAATAAATTAATAAAAAAATAGCATATAAGAATGATTTCTGAAAGAGTAATGGCTGCTGAAAATTCAGCTTTGCCATCAGGAATAAATTAAATTTTAACACACTAAAATAGAAAACTATATTTTTCACAATATTACTGTTTTAATGTACTTTTTAGCAAATAAACGCAGCCTTGGTGAGCATAAGAGATTTATTTGATAAACATTAAAAGATCTTAATGACTAAACTTTTGAGCGGTATTGTACTATACAGTATATAATATGTAGCATTTAGATGCATTATATGACTACTTGTTGAGGGGAAAAAAAGCTTGTCATTGAAAAGTGGAGAAAGATTGCAGAGAGACAAAAAATATAGACACACACACACACACAGACACACACACTGAATAACAAAAAAAGATAACAATAAAACTGTTCTGCACCAAAAAAATACTCATGGTAATCTGGTGTGTTGATTCATAAATCATGAATCAATACACAGATACAAAGCTTTGAGTCCTTTAATAGTATAATGGCAACCCTGTGCTGCTTTTACTTTTTTGTGCACTTTCACCTTCCACTTTGGTTTATCACATGTATTATATAATATTCAGTAAAATCAGAACATGGATCTTGGACACAACAACGGTTTACAATTATAGCAAATTTTGCACAGATAAAAGGGATTTGTTGTGTTGAATGCAATATACAGACAGCTATTCTGCCAAAATAAAAAAAAAATAAAAATCATAATTAAAGTAAATATTGTAACAAGTAATTTTTAACTTCAAATTAAACCGTATAGCACAGCACGAAGTGAGAGAACTAAATAGTTCCCGCAGCAGATGAAACTGCCCTGTGGGAAAATTATCATACCACAAGCCCTTCTAATTTACCTTTGCTCTCGCTTTAATTTCTCAAACACGTGTACAAACACTTACCCACACTCATACAGAAACCTTATTTAAAAACATTTATGCAGCACACTTAAAGGCCCCCGAGACTGATAAGCATTCGCAATGCACACATATGCTTGCTTAAAGAAGCACTTTGCATATAAATCAATGAACGTACACACAAAGAGTGCGTACATGCACACTTCTAAAATGCATGGGATTGTGCAATAGCGATCGCAGGTTCAATCATGGGTTGTTGAGTTATTGAGATCTTTCTGAGCTCAATCATTATTGTATCTCTGAGAAAAGCCCTCGACCCCTTTGAATGCTCCCTGTGTGCTGTAAACTGAATTAAATTGATTCTTTATGGAGGAGGTTAATACATGTTTTTTTTGTATGCAACACGTTGTTTACACTGTATTATTCAGTACTCATTACTTTCATAACACACTTGCAAATTTACAATTTTTCATTCAACAGTCACTTTCATTAAAACAATATAAGTGTACTTCACTTACATACACATAAACCTGCTTGCATACACTTGAAAACATTTTGAAAAAATTGTGAAAGCTATAGTTAAATGTGACATTATACTTAAAAATAGCACAAAAAAAAAGAAAAAAAGTGACACTCATATAAACACTAAAGCATTTTTGTTCCTCATTAACATTTCAATACCCATTTTTCCCCCTCCATTTTTACAAAGCCAGAAAAAATATTTTGTAGCATTGTAAAAGACTCAATCATTTATAAACATCTCTAAATGTTTATAACATTTACATCTATAAATGATTGATCAATTTAATGTATCCTTGCTGAATAAAAGTATTTATAAAAAAAAAAAAAAAACTTACTGACACCAAAAATCCAACTTCCATTTTGTCAGACAAACTCTATTTTAAAGGTTGATTGAACTATTGAATGTAGAAAAAGTTGACAATGCTTAAAAAAATGTTTGTAGGCCATTTAGTATGAACACCTTATAAATATTAAACAGCAAGAACGTCTCAGGTTACGTATGTAACCATGGTTCAGGAGTGGCTCGCATGTCTAGGCCATAGAACCTGACGAAGGTTAGGGGCGTGGACCATCCTGCAGCGTCGCAGATGTCCTGCATTGAGACACCTGCCAAGAAGGCCTTAGAGGCCGCTACACTTCTCGTAGAGTGAGCCTTGACCCCAAGAGGCGAAGGGAGATAAGAGGACTCATAAGAAATAGAACTAGCATCTGTTATCCACCGACTGAGGGTCTGTTTCGTAGCAGGAAGACCTCTCTTAGGGGGACCATAGCATACGAGCAGTTGGTCCGCCCTTCTCCACGAGGCAGCTCTGTGGACGTATGCGTCCAATGCTCGCACTTGACACATACAGTTTAGCTTCTGCTGGTCTGGATCCCCGAAGGGAGGAGGACTGAAGGCCTGGAGTACGACAGGCCGTGGTGTAGAGGAGGGGACCTTAGGAACATAACCCGCTCGAAGGAACAGAATCGCTTTGGCCAGACCGGGCGCAGAGTCAAGATAAGACGGGGCGACTGAAAGGGCCTGCAGATCCCCAACTCTCTTGAGAAAAGATATCGCCAGAAGGAAGGTAGTTTTGATAGTAAGGTGGCGATCGGCCGCGGGCAGGGTGGCCACTCATGACCGCACCCCGACCGGTGAGGGATGTGTCCGTCGCTAGCGTTACGCGGCGACAAGGAGCTCCCAGCACCGGGCCCTGAGACAAGAACCAAGTTTTCCTCCACATGTCCAAGGCACGTAAGCATCGCCGCGTGACCGTGGGCGAGAACGACATCTCGATGTCGAACCACCATCTGCTCTGAGCTAAAATCAACCAATCGTCGATATAGTTTCGTATGCGGATGCCCTGGAGTCACAATGGAGCCAGGGCTGCATCCACACACTTCGTGAAGACGTAGACGGCGTCGCCAAACAGGCCAGAAGGCGCAAGCGGGCCGTCCATTAGGCAGACCTTGTCTCTCTCTTTCATATCTGACAAGGTCAGCCATAAATGCCTCTCCACTGCCACCATAGCTCGGGACAGACAACACCAAATAAGACTCACAACTGACACACACACAGAGCGCTTGCTGAATGACAGAAAGCTGACGCTGGTCTCACCGCACGTGCTTTTATAGCTTCCTGGTCATTACATCACCCGCCCGTGACGTC